GATAAACATAAACTTTGAGACGGTAATGGACATAAGCAGATAATATGGGGGGGGGCAGTTAGCCGCAGCAATGTTGAATAATACTTTACCGGTGATAATGGTTGAAACTAATCAGTAATGATTATAGCAAAGTCAAATTAATCTTAAAAGTTAGTCTGTAAAATGTGGAAATCCAATTTCTGTTGTTGGTTTCCATTTATTCATCTCTGAAACTGATAAATGGACCGCGGAAATGATCACGTGCTTCTAGGAACTTTCATCCATTCGCTCATATACTACTTATTATCTACCTCGCTTTTAAGTGTCTTCTAGATTATATCACGGATACGAGCCTTGACACTTCCAACTGTTTTCATGATTTACTGTAAATGATTTCATAATAAAAATTGAAGTGTCTGATTTCCACCAAGTTGTCCGCAGCTTCGGACAGTAAATGAACAAGAAATTGAATACCAGCCCTAACCTAGGCAAAAGAACTAGGCGACGAGTGATCCTTGCTAAAATTTAAAATACGTACCTAGTATAAGTTACGGCAAAATGTTGCAGAAGAAAATACAATGCAACTTTAATTTTAATGCGCAGTGCCCAGTTGTACTATTTGTCAGAAACGACGGTATAAACCGTAGAGATCTATCGACGCCATTTTTGTGGAGAACGCATTAACCTCTTTCATACCCGCTAGAAAAGAAGTAGTATAAGTTAAAAACTAATTACACACCAAATACAATTACAATTCAAAATCCTCGAAAACTCGAAGGAGACCCCGAAGAACCACCATGAATCTAATGAAAGCAAGAAAAGTATCACGACGAGCAAGAGTCGAGCTGGTCACTGTAGAAATGTACAAGCTAAGTAGGATCAGCTTGTTGATTGGTGACCGTTGGTGCGTGTTTGTGATCTACAAAAGTGAGCGAATTCTGACATGTTCATCTCACCTTGGAAAGTTGAGTAAATTTATTGTTACACACTTTTGGGATCCCAAACGCTGAAAATTGTTTTATAAAATTGACTGAAGCAATGTTCGTGATTGAACTAAATAATGATTGATTCAACGGTTTCCAAGGCTCCGCGAATGTTTTACTGTGCACGTTTATTTTCTCGCAAATGTTTATTGATTGTTCACATACAGTAGTAGGGAATCAGAATTAGTACTTTAACCTGTTTGCCATTCTAATTGTTTAAACACTGACTAATTATGTGGAAATACGGTCGAACTAAATGGACTCATTTAGTCTCCACTTGTTTGCTCAAAGTTTCACTGCACCGCATTGCGTTGGCATTAGCATCGCATTAGCCGCATTTTTATCCGCATGTAAATGTTTATGTCCTTGGTTGGTATGATATACGCATATTTCTTACCAAGAATTTTCACATTGCTGTAACTTAAAACTGGTGCAAATTTGTAACTGTTCTGAAAACGTTATTTAACCAAGATCACTATCATTTACCCATGTCAGAATGGTCATGGAAGAGAAGTAGACAAACATTTATTCTATGATAAATTATAACTCTGATTTGGCTGATTAAAGAGCTTTAACACCTACAGCCAAGTGTTAAACAAGACAAATGGAAGTAAATTATCCTTGTGTTTATACCGCCTTCTTACATTTTCGATCAGTCCGTCGTATTTCAACTACGTACAGACTTATTATGGTCAATGGATGCCTAAGTTTTACAACAGTAAATTCTATTCTCCTCCTATTGTCGACTAATTTTACCATCAGAACAGCGTTGAATTGATTGTAATCTACATGACTAAGTTGACTGAATGTTCACCAGTCTTATATCTGCGGATCACCGAAGTGTAATGTGGATTTGTGCGCGCAAATCTGTTAGACTTCTCTCAATGAATTTTTGCGTATCCGGTATACTCTGTTTTCTAGTGTGGTGATCTACAGCCGTCTGTGCTTGTGGTCAACAAACTCATTACGCACGCTCCGATTGTTTCCGACTTCGCCCGATGCCGACCACATGTGGATTTCCCAATTGTCGATTTCGTTCGCGCTACCGCGGTGCGGAGGATAACCGACATTTCTATCGAGTGCCCAAAAAGCCCGCCATTTTGCGCAAAAGATGGCTTGAGGCAATTGGTCGAACGGAAGAGACTATAGTCAGTCAGGTAAAACGAAATACTCCAAGAATGAGAGAAAATGTTCTGAACTATTCGCTTCATCGATCTCGGTTTTGTTGTAGTTCTTTATTTTGCATGTACTTCTGTTGTACAGTAAGGTTATAGTAACAACAGCGTTTTTACAAAGCCGTATTTTGGAAATTGTGTGAGTAAATGAATAAGTTCTTAGGTAGTAAGTAGATAAGGAAGTAGGTGAGTAAACGAGATAGTTAGATAGCTACTTACTCAGTGGGGGTGCTTTTTCATACTCTACAACTCGCTCAGCCGTAATTTCCTCCATCAATACATTCCCTCGGTATATAAGATGAGAAACTGTGTTAAAAAGAAACTGCTTCTAGAAATTGATTTGTTCTTTGAATTCATCTTGTTGTCTATCAGATGTCAATAGAAGTTCTAGAGTAGTATTTTTTAGTCCTTTAGTCGCTTCCTCAAATATTACCTATTCTGGCAAAGCATAAATTGCATTAAAAACGAATCATTGAGTTGATGTTTGGACGATTTCTAGGGAATTAGTACCAGAAAAAACAAGGAAAATTAGTTGATTCGTACCGAAAAGAACCGGTAATTTCCTAAATCGATCCAAATTGGAACTTGTACAGCAACTTCAGTGTTGGAATAGTGGTCGTTTGTGATCAAATTCTGAGTAGTCTACTCTGAATTTCGTATATGTAAGATTGCAACAACGAATGAGACCTGTACTGTACTCATCCTGAATGAGCCTTGCCACGTGCCGCTTGAAATTCCCCACAACTGAACTGATTAGGCGTGTGGGGATACCAAATTAAAAAGGTCCTCATTTGACTTTCTCCCTAAGAGACATGGGACCCGGAATAAGTTTACACAATTTTGCAAGCATGGGTAGGGCAAAAAAAAAATTAAAAAATATCATTTAGCGCAATATGGTGCAAACTGTTTATAATGTGACTAAAAAGACACGATGCAAGAAAAATACCTCAATTCATTATCCATGATGGATATGTTTCTCGGAGAGGAGCTGTAATTATCGCAGGGGAACTAAAACACGTTGCTGTATTACAAGGCAGTGAATCCGAGTGATTTAGGCTGATTGGAACTACACGATCGACGTTTCCTCTCACTTTCCGAGTGGTAATGTCACGAACAGTCAAACCATTGGAGTATTTTTTCCCATCCAAACCACTCCACGACTAAGCGAGACGAGCACAGACGGTGGAAAATATTGACTAAATGGATTTTTTCTATCAGAATATTCACCTAATAGAAACGGTAGTACACAATGGCTTATACTCTGGCACAGCGAAACGCCACGTTGACACTCCAAGTGTCTCTCGTTAGAACATGTGACTACATCTTTAGCTGTCCTGTTGTCCTGTTGCCACAATCAACAATAATACGGAGCGATTCGATTATACTCAATAGTATTTTTTTCCCGCACAGGGTGAAGGAAGCATGGATGGAAAAGCTGATAAGTACCGTACAGTGCTTTCTTTTATAGATAACAAAAAAACAGTCCAATCATCTGGGGCTCTTGCTGCTGGTATATTTGCATTTCACCCGTGAGGTTCTAAGTTCGATTCTCAGTTGGATCAATGGATTCACATTAGTGATGGCCAAAAAAGCTGCCCGCAGCCCATCAGTTCATGCTTCAATTGATCAGTATGAGACGAAATTCACCATAGAGCTGCCGCAGTAATTTCCAGACCTTCAGGCAACAGCCTATGGGTGTTCACCATCTAGAAAAGATAAACGACACACTAAAGCCTTGTAAAAACCCAGAGAAACAGGACAAGAAAGGCTTATTTTATATTTATTTTAAATGAATAAAACTCCCGTTTTAGTGAGTTTGAATATTTGAGCTAATATGCGGTTGGATGTTTAACTTGTGATATCTTTATACTGGATGTGGTACGACATATATCACAAGTGGGCTTCATACAATGAACAGCGTTATGAGCATCTACCACTCAGTAGCATATTTCCTTCTACTTGGTTCAGTGTGATTTATTTCTAGAAAGGTTATTCTTTTGAGAAAATCTTCACTAGTAAACAACTACCCATGCGATTTTGTCGATTAGAGCCCTTTCGGTGGGAATAGATATTCCATATAAACAATATTCCAAGCCACACCCTTTGAAAATGCATGCTCAGAATATGACTAAAAAAATGATTAGTTTAGCCCTAAGTTTGACGTAGCTCAGACAAAGGCATGAAGTTTCCTATTACCTCAGGTCAGTCTTCATGGTTCATCATTCATTACTCTGTTTTAGCTTCGCGTATGCAGTGGGCACTTTCACGGAGGGGAGAAACATGAGGGTGACATTCCGGTTGCAGACCCGACAGTAGATGAGCTTGTTCGCATCGAATTGCCCCCCAAAACTCCACGGTTGTCGAGCTCGGCTACAGGCCACCGCTTCGGAATTCGTGGTTCCGGTGGTGTACGTGGATCTCATTCCCAAGGAACTCGAGCCAAAATGTCCCTCCTTCGACCGGGTGTGCTCAGCTATCTGTCCAAAGGAACGCATCACCCATTACTGAATCATATGCATAAGTCAAAACTAGGCTCGGCATCAAATTTATCATCGTATCACTCACAATCGGTTAACCTTAATACTCAAACCAAATGGCTCCCGGCAGATTCGGAGGGTGTTAGTAAGAAAGAACAGGGGATTGCTCGGTTTGCTGCTGGCAAACGGAACTGCGATTCCATGGAAATCTTTCCGCCGCCTTTTCACTTGTTAAATTCCCCTTCAATCAAACATTTAGGTGAAAGAGGACCACCAGTTCCTTTTCCTATCCCATTCTCTTTCCCAGAACAGACATTATTTTCCCAGGAGATGACGTACGCGAATATCAATCAAACAAACAATAATATTTCAACTGTTCCAGAAGCGCCCAGGTCAATGTCCCCTCTAAATTGGCAACACCAGCAGAAACAACAACAGACAACAACGTCATTCCTACCTTCCTCTCAACAGCCAGTACCATCTGCTGTCGTTCAGCGCACACCATTATCTGCGTTTTCCAGCCCATTCAACAGTGCAAGGAAAGCTACCGCATTTGCACAACCAACAACCCAGCAACAAACAACACAGTCTAAATCCCAAGTCCGTTTCCTCCAAGCCGATTTACCTGGTTTTATGGCCTCCCAGACAGGCTTGTTTGATTCGGCTTCATTAATTCACCTCAATCCACTGGTTCACGCATTCACAAATCTGATCAACAGTGGAGTGGATGTAAACTATTATAATCAAATACTGGCCTCCATGTGCAATGCCTTACCTGATCCGAGTCCCCTGACTCCAATGTTTTTGGGGTTAAAAAGTAGGCTGGCCCAGTCACCGAGTGGACCGTGTCAATCGTCCGCGACGCTAACAACGCCAAATACGACAAAAGCGGTGCATACGAAGGCTACCAATGCAACCAGCACAACCACTAGTGCATCACTTTCGTCTCGGTCTAACCTTTCCGATCTGACAGTCCCTACACTTGCCGCATCAAGTTCCGACGAGCAGCCGTTTCGACCGAACTTAATACCCAGCCCAGTGGACTCACAACAAACTAACTTGCTCAATCTTTGCATGCGCGCATCCTCAACTGGCGATGGATGCACTAGTGGTGTCGGTGTTGGTGGCCTTGGAACCAAGTCAACATTCAGGAACCATTCCAGACCTAGCCCCTATCCAACGGATAGTGTGATACAACGTATGAAATTGGGTGGATGGACTGATCATACAAATGTGAAAAGAAAATGGTTTTCGGGGGAAAGCAGTTTAGACGGAATTGAGAAAAGCCCAGTTGAGAATCAAAAGGCCGGTCTGCAATGGATTGACAATCCCGTTTTGGAGAGAAATCCGAATGGAGGTGAGATTTACAAGAATACCTATCATTAGTATTCACTTTGGATCTCTTATGGCTTTCGTAAGAAAACGGTTCCAATGAGTTCCCATGGGTTTTTGTTTACTTTTGCACATTGAAATGGGCTCGTCTGTTGTAAAAATATCCATTTATTTTTCAATCTAAACTTCACATACCTCATTTAGGCTGCCTGAGTAAATCACTTTGATTTGCAATCCAACACTAAAGACAGTCGTCCGAACAAATCATCTGTCTGGATGAGTTCTTCAGGGTTCTGCGCGGTTGAATTCAAATTTATTCAAATGTTTTTTCCGTCTTCAGGATCACAGTTGACTATACACATTCGGATTGGTTAGAAACTAAGAGCCGACGGTAATTACCGGTATTTTAGGCAACAGTTTAAGTTTACAAATATAAGCTCACTGATCAGTCTGTGTGGTATGCACTTTTGTATTTAAGTCACATATTTTCTTTATACATTGTCCGATCACCCGTTAATATCCTCTCATTACACTGTCAGTTATGTGTATAGTTCAGATCGCAGTGAAAATGTGAATTAAAAGTGATTGATACCTGCCAAAATGTTCTACCGATAGCTGAACTTCATTAAGAAAGAATAATGCAATCATTATTTCAGATAATCTACACATTTTTAATTGCATACTTTGGTGTGTTGAATTACAGGCGGGGAAATTCCATCAAGATGACAACCTACCGTTCCGTGCATGGAACCGGCAACTTTATACCTGACACTAGGAATAATAAACCGCATAAGGCTCAAGTAGAACAGTTATGATATTGAGCCACTACTAACTTTGAATGATGGCGGCAAAGGTTCGAACCTCATACTTTAATAAAGGACGCATCAATGACGGGGACAGTAATCGTTTGATCGTTACCATTAATCGCTTCAATTAACATCCATTGATCCATTCTTCTTACCTATATGTGCATCAAGGCCTATGAATTGTCGTCCGAGTCTCCAGTACCGTGATTGATCCGTACAAGGGCTCTCTTTTATTCACATTTTCTGAAAACTTGTTTTTTGTGGTGACTGACGCGTAATAAAGCGTATGATCGAATCCTCGGATGATTTAATCAAGATCAACATTTATCAGACATTGAATTCATCATGTAAATAAATCAAATCCTCCATTACTCTCATACAACAAATAACCAGGTTGTGAAAGTTTCCAATCGAGTCATAACTCTGGAGGTCAGCGCTGAGATGAGCGAGGACCGATTCTCGCAGCAAGCTCGCATTGATGGGTTGTGCTATATCGTGTAAATTCAAAATGAGAAACGGTCTGACCAGCTGCACGGTGCCCGATTGGGTAACATGCTTGCGTTCTGCCCATGAGGTTCCTGGTTCGAGTCCCAGTTGGATCGATGGATTCGCACTGCTGATGAGACCCACCCAGGTCGAAACAGCTGTCCAGTGCTTCCGAGCTTTTCAGCGCACGCCTCATTTACACGACGAATTCATCATAAAGATAGCAATTGTTGCATTTAAATTTCGTCCCCATCCCCCCCCCACACACAAATTTGTCATGTGATAATATTCTTCGGGAGGGTGGGGGATTGATGTCATGCTTCCGTCTATTATTGCTTCTACTCCCCAGGCGATTTGCCTGAAAAATGTTTCCGGCACGTACCATATTTTGTTGATACTACTGACCATGACTAGGAAAGCAGCGAAGCTGATGCCCGGTAAACATAACATCAATTCATTTATAATGTTTTCCCGGAGTTTGTAATGATTTATTGCCAGTTTGGTGACAGGCCTCTTTTTCAGAGTGGGAGCATGCGAGGGAAAACAAAAGAAAGCCAAAAACATCCTTGATTGCCACTGCGATGAGAGCGGGTGTTTTGAAAAGGGGTCAGTTCGCGTGTCTCTACGGTTTGTCGCACGTACCCATTGCCATAGTCGGTTATGGGCAGGTTTTCAACATACATCCGGAACGGTAAATACAGTATCTGCCAGTATTGTTGTTGTCCTTGGTGCAAATTTTGATACATGATCAACTCAGACGAGTACGAACACTTCAGGCTGACCTACGCCACAGTGTCTTTCCACACATGCTCAGGCTTTTTTGTACAAATTTCGTACGTCACTGTGTAAACATTGTATCAATGCGTTTTCGGATGCCGCGGAACGACAGACCGGTGTGAAGTAGTTCGAACAGACCATTGCCTGGACACTGCTCGGGGATATGAATCATAATTGTTGTGTGCTACCGTGTAGAGGAACGAAAACAGGGTCAGTTATGCTTTAAAATTCTGGCTCGATGAAAACTACTGAGTCAGGAAGATGGGTTTTAGCTTTACATTTATTTTTAGTTTATTTGTTCTATGCGTTCGCGATTGAGGACTGGTTAAATCTGTTCCACTAACAAACAATGTTATTATGCCATTTAGCTGAGATTCACTCGGTTGCGCAACACTGTTCGAATACATCAGAACAGGCTATCCTATTTCTCGGGAACACGGACATGGATGTGGAACACAAGATTTTGCGAGATCTATTTCAAGTGCATCATCTTGCTGATCTGGATCAAATGGATATCGGGGTAAGAATCATTTACATCCGAAGTGTACAGCTGTGATTGGGCGTCGAGCATGTATGCAGTCAAACGTACGGTTAGTCCCATTTTTGGTAGCCAAAAGAATCAGTAGCAAACAGCCATTTTTCACAAAGATTATGGACTAATTTCACAACGAAAGAAGACTAGTTTCAGTAACAAATCATTTTACGGAAAACAACATTAGACATTCCATGGAAAAGGTCTTTTATCATTGATTGTATTCTTACTGGTTCTGCTTTCAATTTTTCTACCATAACCCCCAGACGATTTTCTGTCTGTTTAATTCCAGACTGTTCTAAATCAGTCACTATCGAAAGTGACCGATTTGGTTATTTCACCTGGCAAGATAGAAGGTGTGGAACGTTTGATTCGGGAATTAGACGGAGTAAAAAATATTTTTCTGCCTGAACCAACTCAGACTCAACTCAATCGGTTGAGGGCACAGTTTCCAGGTGAGTATTCTGTTTGATCGTTTTAATTTGTGTAACTTCTTTCAAAGTCAATGATATTTTTGTTCGCAGTCTGGTGCGTGTGACTTTTCGCACCTTGATTTGTATGAGTATTCAAAACGAGTATGACATTTTGAAGGTAGTTTTTCCGTTGACCCGTGTACATAATTTTGTCAGACACAAATATGCCCAATAAACATCAGTTCTATTATTTCCAGACTATTGAATCAGTGGTACGAATATTACCACTCAATGTTTTGCAGCTTTGTGCTGACTGAAACACTACGACAAATTAGAAATTACCAATTTTGTTCATTGAATGCTAAGAAGAGCACGGATGTCGGACAGTCCGCATATTAAACTGGATTGTATTGTGGGCCAGCTATTGTCCTGTTGGCTTACACACTTCACATCATGGATATGTAATATTTTTATTCCTGCATTGTTATATATATATATACATATATGTATATGACAAATACTATTTCATATATACGCTTCAAAACGATGTAGATATAAACGATAACCGTTGCGAAATGCAGCACGAACCAGGTCTCGTAGGTTTCAAAAATTAGACAAACTGGGTAGAACCACTTGGTTATGACTTTGGGGAAAAATAGACATACATATGAAAACAATTTAATTATAGAACTTGAGCCTGGGTTGCTTTACATCCAGAGGAAAATATTATTCACGGGGATGTATGGATTGTTAAAAGATGCCTAGGCATAAATTTATTCCCGTAAAATGACCATGATACCTGATAAAACCAGTAGCAACTTGAGAGAAACCGATTGTCTCATGGATCTGGGATACTTAACTTTGAATAAATTTTTGTGGGCATGAAATAGTCAGAGTATAGAGAAAACCATTAGAAACAGGAAGAGCCATCGCACCTAAATGATCAACGGAAAGTTTCCAATGAGTGGGCAAAAATAGCATTTCTAACAGTCCCTTGATCAAATGACCTTGGATTGATCTTACTCAGTTCCTGAAACGGAACTGAGCTACTGTATTTTCTGAAAATATTGAAGAATATGACCAATTACCGAGACTTTACCTAGCATGGAATTGAGCACAATAAAAATGCTGCAATTACTCAAGTAAACCTAAACCATAGCCATGGACGGCTTATCCTCTATCAAAGAGCATAATGAAACAGTAATTATTATTCAACCAAGAAAATCGATCAGTAACTGAGATGAATAAACTGAAATACTACGCTTGTCAACCGCAGGTTTATCATGTAGTAGTAAACCGTTATACATTTACCATCTATTGTGTTCCGTTTAGGTAAGTAAATAAGCACGCAGTCAAATATGCAGTACGTCTATTGTGGGGGTTACATATGTCACCGGTCCATGGTCAGGTGAGTAAGTAGACGGGGCAACACGTAGGAAGGAAGGAAGGCCAACAACTAGCTCAAGAGACGCATAACAGCCGAATGCGGTCAAGCAGGCATTTAAACAGTCAAACAATCAATCAGCACGAGAACAGTCAAATGTCAATATTTGATTGGTTGAAACCGATCGATATTGTAGTCGAGCCCGTCGACATGAAGTGTGTGTGCTAGTTGGCAGCATCTCTTAATCAATTGATCAATCAATCAATCAGACCGCAAGCAAGCATGACAAACGTATTGGTCTCTTGTAGGCCACAACATCTTCCCTACCACAAGTAAGTGGTGGCCCGGTGGTAACGTCATCAAATTAGCACCTCGGGGATATTTGTTCGAATCCCACCACCAACAACAACAATAACAACTTGACTTTCCCCCATTGTGTGTTAAATGGCAGCCCCCTAATAGGCCACTTCTCCTTCCTGAAAATTGTATTTTTGTATATTCAATATAAGGAAGCAAAATGAAAAGAAAAAAGTAGGGATAAGTATTCTAAAGAGGACAAAGAACAACAAACGGAATATAATTAGAAATGTTTGTTTAGACATGTACGAAATACGTTGCAGTCACAATACCATCAGTCCTTTAATTGAACATTCGAAGTTCGTGAAATTGGATAGAGTACAGTAGACACCAATTAAGATGCAGTTGAAAATGAACTCCCTTCTCTGGTGAA